TCTCCCAGGCAGCCAAGGGGCTATTCAAACCCAGGACCTGGACGATTTTCATAGGTGCTGACATATGAAGCCGGAATGCAGCAGGGACAAGGCAGAGCCGACACCTGTGCAGTCAGGCATGGCCCGCCACTCTGGGTATCCACACTGCCTTCAGAAGCCTGGAGTAGACTCCACCCAGGAGAGAGACAGGGAGGAAAGGGGTCAGGGGTGGGAGAGAGAGCGGGAGGGGGAGGGGAGAGAGTGAGGGGAGAGAGAGAGAAGGGGATAGAGGGAGAGGGAAGGAGAGAGAGGAAAAGAGAAAGATAGAGATTTGGGGGAAAGAGCCCCAGTTTTCAGGCCTGCACCTTCAGCAAACCTCACCATTGCCCCTGCCCTTGTTATTGTTTGACGGAGGAAAACCCTCCAAGCCTCTCTCCTGGAAGCACAGAACTGCTCCAGAGAGCCAGGAATACTGACCAAGCCACCACAGCAGGGGCAGGGAGAGGCTGCAAAGGAACATGTATGGAGTTCCCATTGTATGGTTGTATGTGAGGCACTGCTAGGGGCTCTACCCTCAGTCACCAATTTCACCTTCAAGGAGCCCCGAAGGCACATACCCTATTATCTCTCTATTTTGCATATGAGGAAATTGAGTCTCTTTAACAGTAATTTGCCCAAGTCACCCACCTGGGAAGTGGCATAGCTAGAATTTGAACCCAGGTCTCCCAAACACCTGAGCCCTGCTCTTTCTACCTGAATTAAGCCATTTCGTAAGACCTACAAGGCCCTGGAATCCATCAAAGTGACTATGATAGTTTCCGGATCTGTGACCCCAGCCATATCCCTTCTCCTCTCTGAGCCTCAACTTCCTCATTTGCAATATGAGGGGAAATTGTTGTAAAAATTAAATAAGGCAGGAAGGTGAGAACACTGGTCATTCACTGGTATTAGGTCAGCATTGCAGAGCTTCATCACACTTGTTTTTTTGAGACGGTCTCGCCCTGTCACCCAGGCTGAAGTGCATTGCAATTATAGCTCACTGCACCCTCAAAGTCCTCAGCGATTCTCCCATCTCAGCCTCCACAGCAGCTGGGACTACAGGTGTGCACCACTGCACTTGCCTAGTTTTTAAAAATTTTTGTAGAGATGGGGGTCTTGCTATGTTGAGCAGGCTGGTCTCCAACTCCTGGCCTCAAGTAATCCCCTCACCTTGGCCTTCCAAAGTGCTGGAATTACAGAATCACACTTCTTGACTATTCTCAAAAAACACCTTCACCCTCAAAGGAGGTGGCCAAACCTATACAGATAGAACTTTACCTGTCCTTCTCTCAGGACTCCAAAAGAGCCATCTCTGCCCAGAGTCAAGAGCAATCTGAAAACAGAACTGCACCCAACTTGTCTACCACAATGGCTATCACAGAAACCAACACTTAGAAGGGATTTAATAAATGCTATTGAATGAAAGAAAAAGCTTGCCACAAGACACGTCACATGCTATGAGAAAAAGAGCTAGGAATCAAAACAACTGGTTCTGGCTCCACTAATAATGCATTACGGGCACTCACTGGTCCCCTCTAGATCTCAGGAATCCCACTGGTTAAACTAAGAGAAGTAGAGTAGGTATTCTCTGGCAGTCCATTTCAGCTCTGATTTTGTATGAGGCTGTAGGATTAAGGGGAAATAAAGATCACATCTTCTGCAGCCCACTCTCCCCTCCGTGAAAGCCAAAGCTACATTATGGTCATATTTGAAGATAGTCAGGAAACATTCTTTACACCTGTAATCCCAGCACTTTGGGAGTCCGAGGGGGGTGGATCACAAGGTCAAGAGATTGAGACCATCCTGGTCAACATGGTGAAACCCCGTCTCTACTAAAAATACAAAACATTAGCTGGGCATGGTGGCGCGTGCCTGTAATCCCAGCTACTCAGGAGGCTGAGGCAGGAGAATTGCCTGAACCCAGGAGGTGGAGGTTGCCATGAGCCGAGATCGCGCCATTGCACTCCAGCCTGGGTAACAAGAGCGAAACTCCGTCTCAAAAAATAAAATAAAAAAATAATAATAATAAATGGCAGCTATGTAACTCCTGATTTAATCAGAAACAGATAAACAACATTCTGAACAGCCAGATCCTTCGGTCTATGGAACACAGACTCATGAATGTGTGCACTGAGCTTTACAGTTTGCAAAGTGCTTCACCTCCTTTCTCTTATTTACACCTCAGCACAACCTTGTGAGGGGCCTTACAATGGCAGAAGTCACCATCCTTTTTCACTGACCATGGAACTGAGGTCACCGGGATGAACTGACTTACCCAGAGGCATATGAGGAAACAGTATCAGAGGTGAGATGTGAACCCAGAACTGGGTTCCTGGCCCCAAATTTAGCCTTCTTTCCTTTACACAGTTTACCTGTACACAGGCTGTGAGCAGGAGATGAACTCATTCAACCAAAGCCTGATTTGGAGGTTCACAAGTTTACCACCTGGGTGGAAAACTGCCCAGCATAATAGAGCATTTTAAAGTCAAATGTGGAGCAGAAGAGTGCATGCAGTGATACCAGGTGGGCTTGTGGCCATGGAGTGTTAGCTGTGTGGGAGGCAAGAGGCCAAGCCTGGGCTGAGAGCATCATATGCCACTCAGTGCCACAGCTGGAAGGATAGCCTACATGTAACCTCTGAATACGGAGATACTGAAATACGGCCATGCCCACAGATACATACCCACTGCCCAAGCTCCCTTCCCCACACCTACCCCGTTACCCCAGCTGTCCTGGTTATCTGAACCTTTCCCCTTGGACGCCCAGGACTGACCTCGAGATCCTGCCACTAAAAGGTTAAAGCCTGGCATTGCAGGGGGCCCAGTCTGACTAGGCTTCTATTCTGATCGATCCAGCGCATATTCTGATTGGTCAATACCTCCTGCCCTGCGGAGTGTTAAAATTTTTTTTTTTAGTTATAGAAAAAAATGGAATTTTATTAGTTAAAACATTATGATAGATTCTTACAAAACAGTAGGAAATTGTAATTCCTGCAGCTAATATAAATTCTACTCAAGAACATGCTATTTCGGTTCTTTTGATGAAAATTTCCACCCTCACAACTCTTCTCTCATCAATTAAAAAAATAATAATAATAAGAGACTGGGCGTGGTGGCTCATGCTTGTAATCCTAGCACTTTGGGAGGCCAAGGCGGGCAGATCACGAGGTCAGGAGATCGAGACCATCCTGGCTAATATGGTGAAACCTCATCTCTGCTAAAAATATAAAAAATTAGCTGGTCATGGTGACACACACCTGTAGTCCCAGCTACTTGGGAGGTTGAGGTAGGAGAATCATTGGAACCCAGAAGGCAGAGGTTGCGGTGAGCTGAGATTATACCACTGCACTCCAGCCTGGGCTACAGAGCAAGACTCCTCCGTCTCAAAAAAAAAAAAAAAAAGACTAATTTACATCATTTGTTGTTATGCAACAGCTATTGCCATTCAATGGTGAAAGTGGCCACCATTTCCCCTGCATTATTTCTACCATATAATCAGTTCCTAATAACCTATTACTGTCCTCCCATAAAAATCTCTGTCCTAAGGTCCTGGCCTGCTCATTTCATTGTCTGTTGGTAAAGCCTTTCTTTCCTATAACCCGCAATGCCCTCTTGTCAGAATAGCACCCTGAACACAGTATGTATGATGACTGGCATTACAGTTTTACATTATACTCTGCCCCTGCTCCATGCTAATTCAGAAAATAGAATATTGTTAATATTACTCCATCAGGCTAGAAGAGACCTTGGGGAATGTCTTAGTGCTTCTCTATCATTTTGAGTTTGAAGGTACTTTCTTAACAGCTATAAATTCCACAGTCCTCGCAACATACAAGGTAGATAAATTTTTCATAACATTGACGGAGAAATTTTATGTCCAAAAAGATGACCAAAAATTTAATAACATCTTAAAATGAATTTGCATTTTATTTGTCACACAGCTTGACATACATTTGAAAGGTAGTCATACATATATATACATATACACATATATATACATGCATACATACATATATGTGTATATATAAAATACAGGTTGAATATCCCATATTCAAAATGCTTGGGAACAGAGTGCTTCAGATTTTGGATTTTGGGGGATTTTGAAATGTTTGCATGTACATAAAGAGATTATATTGGGGACGAGACTCAAGTCTAAACAGAAAATTTATTTATGTTTTATATATACCTTATAGACATAGTCAAAATGTAATTTTATACAATTTTTTTAATTTTATGCATGAAACAAAGTTTGTGTACATTGAACCATCAGAAAGCAAAGGTGCCACTCTCCCAGCCACCCATGTGGACAATCTGGTTGTTTGGCATCGCCATCATTCCTGACTCTGAATTTATATGCCACTGATTAGCAATCATTTTCTTATGCTAATTTATACCTTAGAACTTGATAGTAAAAAATATAACATACTATTAATGCAGTGAAAAAATAATGTGTTCAGGGTAACTGGGCAGCACAGTAGCATCACCAGAATACCTGCAGCAGCTGTGAAATTACAGCAACATGTAACAGCAGGCTTTCATTCCCCACCTACAATGCTGTTTTGATTAAAACATTACTGTACCCTGTATATTTGGGGTGGGGAGTGAGAAGAATCATCAGAAGCAGTTGAGCCTGGCGTGATGGCCCACTCCTCTAATCCCAACACTTTGGGAGGCTAGGGTGGGAGGATCACTTGAAGCCAGGAGCTAGAGACCAGCCTGGGTAACATAGTGGGACCCTATCTCGGCAGAAATAAAAGAAATAAAAATTTGATAGACCGGAAGCTGGGGTCTTAGTTCTCTTTCCTGTCTTGCAAGGTGGCGGGTGAAAAAGTTGAGAAGCCGGATACTAAAGAGAAGAAACCTGAAGTCAAGAAGGCTGATGCTGGTAGCAAAGTGAAAAAGGGTAACCTCAAGGCTAAAAAGCCCAAGAAGGGGAGGCCCCATTGCAGCCACAATCCTGTTCTTGTCAGAGGAATTAGCAGGTTTTCCCGATCTGCCATGTATCCCAGAAAGGCCATGTACAAGAGGAAGTACTCAGCGGCTAAATCCAAGGTTGAAAAGAAAAAGAAGGAGAAGCTTCTTGCAACTGTTACAAAACCAGTTGGTGGTGACAAAAACGGAGGTACCCGGGTGGTTAAACTTCGCAAAATGCCTAGGTATTACCATACTGAAGATGTGCCTTGAAAGCTGTTGAGCCATGGCAAAACACCCTTCAGTCAGCACATGAGAAAACTGCGAGCCAGCATTACCCCTGGGACCATTATGATCAACCTCACTGGACGCCACAGGGGCAAGAGGGTGGTTTTCCTGAAGCAGCTAGCTAGTGGCTTTTTACTTGTGACTGGACCTCTAGTCCTCAATCGAGTTCCTCTGCAAAGAACACACCAGAAATTTGTCATTGCCACCTCAACCAAAATTGATATCAGCAATGTAAAAATCCCAAAACATCTTACTGATGCTTACTTCAAGAAGAAGCAGCTGTGGAAGCCCACACACCAGGAAAGTGAGATCTTCGACACAGAAAAAGAGAAATACGAGATTACAAAACAGCGCAAGATTGATCAGAAAGCTGTGGACTCACAAATTTTACCAAAAATCAAAGCTATTCCTCAGCTCCAGGGCTACCTGCGATCTGTGTTTGCCCTGACAAATGGAATTTATCCTCACAAATTGGTATTTTAAATGTCCTAATAATCTAATTAAATAACTGATTACCTTTAAAAAAAAAAAAAAAGAAATAAAAATTTAAGCAAAATTAGCCAGGCATGGTGGTTTATGCCTGTAATCCCAGCTACTTAGGAGGCCAAGATGGAAAGATGGCTTGAGCCCAGGCCCTCAAAGCTGCAGTCTTCTATGACCGTGCCATTGCACTCCAGCCTGGGCAACAGAGCAAGACCCTATCTCAAAAACAACAACAACAAAACACAAACAGTTAAGGGATCAGGAGAGGGTCTGTTGAGGCCTAGATGGATTCACTGGTGAGTTCCACTAAATGTTTAATGAATAATTAACACCATGACTTCATAAATTCTTCCAATAAAATAGAAGAGGAAGGAATACTTCACAACTCATTCCGTGAAGCCACTATTGCCCTAATACCAAACAAGATGAAGACATCATGAGAAAAGCAGAGATCAATAGCTTTTATGAATGTAGATGTAAAATCTTCAACAAAATGCTAGCAAACTGAATTCAACAACATATAAAAAGGATTGTACCCCATGACCAAGTAGTGTTTATCTCAGAATGTAAGGTTGGTACTGCATATGAAAATCAATCAGTATACTATGACATATTAATAGAATAAAGGACAAAAACTATATGATCATCTCAATAGAGGCAGAAAATTCATTTGACAAGATCCAACTCCATTTCATAATTAAAAAAAAATACTCAACAAAGGAGGCATAGGAGAGAATTTCCTCAATCTGAAAAAGGGCAGATATGAAAAACCTCACTGCTAACATCATACTTAATTGTGAAAAACCAAATCCTTTCCCTATGAAAAGGATGTACATTCTTTCCAGTTTTTTTTAAACTCTTAGATTCAGGGAGTACATGCACAGGTTCAATACATGAGTAAATTGCACGTTGATGAAGCTTGGTGTACAAATAATTCCCTTTACCTGGGTAGTCAGAATAGTACCCAACAGGTAATTTTTTAACTCTCGCCCAGCTCCCACCCTCCCTCCTCTAGTAGCCCCGGGTGTCTATTGTTCCCATCTTTATGATCATGTGTATTCAATGTTTCTGTTCCTATGTTAATTCGCCTAGGATAATAGCCTCCAGCTGCATCCATGTTGTTGCAAATAAAATGATTTCATTCTTTGTATGGCTGCATAGTATTCCATGGTATATGTATAGCACTTTTTAAAAAATCCAGTCCACTGTTGATGGGCATCTAGGTTGATTCCATATCTTTGCTATTGTGCATAGTGCTGCATCAAACATGAGAGCATGTGTCTTTTTGGTAGAATGATTTGTTTTTCTTTGGGTATATGCCCAGTAATGGGACTGCTGGATCAAATGGTAGCTCTTTGAGAAATCTCCAAACTGCTTTTCACAGTGGCTAAACTAATTTACTTTCCCACCAACAGTGTATAAATGTTCCCTTTTCTCCACAACTTTACCAGCATGTAATTTTTGAACTTTTTAATATTAGCTATTCTGACTGGTATCTCATTGTGGTTTTTATTTGCATTTCTCTGATGATTCGTGATGATGAGCATGTTTTCATATATTCCTTGACCTCGTGTATGTCTTCTTTTGCAAAGTATCTGTTTGTGTCCTTTGCCCCTTTTTTAATGAGGTTGTTTTTGCTTACTGAATTGTTTTAGTTCCTTATAGATTCTGGATATTAGACCTTTGTCAGATGCATAGTTTGCAAATATTTTCTCCCATTTTGTAGGTTATCTGTTTATTCTGTTGATAATTTCTTTTGCTGTGCAGAAACTCTTTAGTTTAACTTGGTTCCACGTGTCAATTTTTGGTTTTGTTGCAATTGCTTTTGGGGACTTAGTCCTAAATTCTTTGCCAAGGCTAATGTCCAGAATGGTATTTTTAATGTTCTTTTCTGAGATTTTTATAGTTTTAGGTCTTACATTTAAGTCTTTGATCCATCTTGAATTAATTTCTATATATGATAAAAGGTAGGGGTCCAGTTTCATTCTTCTGCATATAGCTATCCAGTTATCCCAAGATCATTTATTGAATAGGGAATCCTGTGCCCACTGCTTGTTATTGTCGACTTTGTTGAAGATCCAATGTTTGTAGGTGTGTCGCTTTATTTCTGGGTTCTCTGTCCTGTTCCATTGGTCTATATGTGTGTTTTTGTAGCAATGCCATGCTCTTTTGCTTACCGTAGTCTTGTAGTATAGTTTGAAATTGGGTAGTGTGATGCCTATGGCTTTGTTCTTTTTGTTTAGGATTGCTTTGGCTATTTGGGTTCTTTTTTGGTTCCATATAAATTTTAGAATTATTTTTTCTAATTCTGTGAAAAATGATATTGGTAGTTTGATAGGAATAGTGTTGAAACTGTAGATTGCTTTCAGCAGTATGCCCATTTTAATGGTATTGATTCTTCCAATCCATGAGCATGGGATGTGTTTCCATTTGTTTGTATCATCTATGATTTCTTTTAGCAATGTTTTATAGTTCTTGTAGAGACCTTTCACCTTCTTGGTTAGATGTATTCCTAAGTATTTTTATTTTGTGAGTATGGCTATTGTAAGTGGAGTTGCATTCTTAGTTTGGCTTTTAGCTTGAACTTTATTGGCATATAGAAATGCTAATGATCGCCGGGCGCGGTGGCTCACGCCTGTAATCCCAGCACTTTGGGAGGCCGAGGTGGGTGGATCACGAGGTCAAGAGATCAAGACCATCCTGGTCAACATGGTGAAACCCCGTCTCTACTAAAACTACAAAAAATTAGCTGGGCATGGTGGTGCGTGCCTGTAATCCCAGCTACTCAGGAGGCTGAGGCAGGAGAATTGCCTGAACCCAGGAGGCGGAGGTTGCAGTGAGCCGAGATCGCGCCATTGCACTCCAGCCTGGGTAACAAGAGTGAAACTCCGTCTCAAAAAAAAAAAAAAAATGCTAATGATCTTTGTATATTGACTTTTTAAAATACCTTTTTAAGAGATGAGGTATCACCATGTTGCCCAGTCTGGTCTTGAACTCCTGAGCTCAAGCGATGTTCCCACCTTGGCCTTCCAAAGTGCTGGGATTAGAGGAATGAGCCACCATAAAAGCCTGGCCCTAACTTTTATATATTGATTCTATACCCTGAAGCTTTACTGAAGTCATTTATCAGCTCTAGAAGCCTTTTGGTGGAGTCTTTTTTAAGGTTTTTCTAGATGTAGAATCATGTCATCAGTAAACAAATCATTTGACTTTTTTGTTTCCTATTTGGATGCCTTTTATTTCTTTCTATTGCCTGATTGCTCTGGCTAGGACTTCCAGCACCATGTTGAATAGGAGTGAAAGCTCTTCCCATTCCTATTCAACATCATATTGAAGGTTCTAGCTAGAGCAAGAAAAACAGATACAAGGCATCCATATTGGAAAGAAACAAGTAAACCTATCTCTATTTGCAGATGACCTGATGATCACCTCTATTAGCAGATGACCTGCAAAGAAAATCCTAATGAACACATACACACACACACACACACACACACACACACACACACAATTAGAATAAACAAGTCCAATAAAAATTAAAGGATACAAGCCAATATACAAAAATTAATTTCTATATGCTAACAATGAAAAATTAAAATGAAATTAAGAAAATAATCCCATGTACGATGGCATCAAAAAGAATAAAACATTTAGAAATAAATTTAACAAACTAATTGCAAGGCTTGCCTACTGAAAACTGTAAAACGTAGTTGAAAGAAATTAAAGAAAACCTAAATAAATGGAAAAGTACCCCATGTTTATGGATCAGAAGATGTAATATTATTATAATGGCAGTACTGCCCAAGCCTACAAATCCAACATAATCCCTATCAAAATCTGTTTGTTTTATAAAAATTGATAAGCTGATCCTAAAATATATATGAGGATGCAAAGGACACAGAATACCTAAACTAACTTAAAAAATAAGAACAAAATTGAAAGATCCACACTTCCCTGATTTCAAACTTACTACAACACTACAGTAATCAAGGCAGTGTGATACTGGCATAATGCTAGACACACAGATCCAGAGGGAAATTTATAGCTATAAATGCCTATATTATAAAAGAAGAAAAAATGATATTTTACATTTCTCAAAACCCATAGAACTATAAAACACAGAATGAACCCTAATGTAAACTATGGATATTAGTTAATAATAATATATCAACATTGGCTTATCAATTGTAACAAATGTACCACTCTAATGCAAGATGTTAATAACTCACCAAAATGCTAGCAAACTTAATCCAACAATATATATAAAAAGATCATACACCATGACCAAGAGGTATTTATCCCAGGAATGTAAGGTTGATAGTGCATACAAAAATCACTCATGGAATAGAATTTAGAGTTCAGAAATATACCTTTGTATTTACGATCAAGTGATTTTTGATGAGGGTGCCAAGACCATTCAACAAAGGAAACAATAGTCTTTTCAACAAATGATGCCAACAAAACTAGATATCCACATGGGGAAAAAAAAAGAAGCTAGACTATAACCTCACATTATATACACAAATTAGCTCGAAATGGATTATAGACCTAAATCTAAGAGCAAAACTATGAAATTCTTAGAAGAATCTCTTCGTAACCTTAGATGAGGGGATGCTTTCTTAGATATGATTCCAAAAGCACAAGCAACAAAAGAAACAAAAGAAGATATATTGGACTGCATAAAAATTTAAAATTTTTTGCTTCAAATGACACCATAATACAACCCACAGAATGGGAGAAAAGATTTGCAAACCATATATCTGATAAGGGACTTGTACTCAGAATATGTGAAGAATTCTTACAACTCAACAGTAAAACAAGTAACCCAATTTAAAAATAGGCAAAGAATTTGAAAGATGTTTTCTGAAGCAGTTACACAAATGGCTGATAAGCATATGAAAAGACACTTGACATCATTAGTCATTAAAGAAATGCAAATCAAAACCACAATTGGTTACCACTTCACACCCACTTGGATGGCTAAAAATCAAACTGACAGAGAATAATAAGTACTGGAGAGGATGTAGAGAAAT